CATCTAAGCTCACCTTGACTCATTTGGTGGTTCAGGCAGCACTTTAAATACTCATCAAAGCAATCAATGTCAGGTTATCAACATCATTAGTCGTAGAAAGTCCATTGATGGTGTGATACTAGTCACGCTGTCATCAGTTTTATGCATTGGGCTTTGTAAAGGGGTGATGATGCTCACCCCTGGTCGATTTGCAAATTGCTAAAACAAAGGTGCAGAGTTGCAAGTATGGCAATCGCTACTGGTTTCACCTCAAGACTTCAAAGAATGGGTCTCAAAGAGGATTGTAATTGTCCTTTGAGTCTATCACAACATACAATATGCAATGATTCTTAATGTTCAACTGATCCTTGCTGGAAATGGAAGGCCAAAGTTAATCGATTGAAGATAACCCGGAGTGTATGATGGTTTGAGTGATATTTCACGGAGAAGAGGCAATCAAGATTTGATTACTTTGCAAGATCACGGAAGAAACGATGAAAGCACTGCCGGCATATTTGGCTCGGAGACAAACGTCCAAGGAGTCCTCGGACGGCGCCCCCGAGGAAAAGGGCACCTGAGGGCTAATTCCGTGGCAAATGTTGGCCCTGGCCGTTGCCTCGGATTGGATCCCCGGATGGGGGTTAACTCGGAGTCAAAATCCGAGGAATCCTCGGATTTTTGGCTCTGAGCCAAATATGCTGGCTGTGAAGTAGTAAGGTGTCAGAGGTCAACTTGTTCAGAGAGTCTAAAAGGGACGGTATGTAGACAGTGTTGCAAGAATACAATCTCAGTCGTAGATAGGCTGATAGGAGGAATACTGAAACGGGGAGTGTCACAGCATGTAACCGCCAAAGGAGCCTGTAAAGGGCATGGCGTCTTTTTTGTGTCACAGGGGGAAAACGACTAAAAATCTCTAAAAAGTGAGTTTCACAGTGTGCACAAAACAACAACATTCCTTTGGTAGATTTTGCATTGTGAAAACATGTCTTTCTTTTCTATGTTTGATGTATGCTTATGTAAGATTCCTTTTGATTTTCAAATCCTCAACTCACCCCATTCATTTCACTACACCCATTCCTCTTTCCCTCTTCATTGTTCATCATGACCTCATTTCCTCAATCTAACAGTCGTCATTACCCCCTTTCTTATCTCTTCATCACCTCTTCTTCATCAATCCCTCCATTCAATCATTCCTCCTTAGCTCTATCCTGATCTTTGATACTTCAATCAATCAATGATGTCAGCTTAGTCATTTTGTTCGATCTGATCCTTTCTTTCAAAAATCTTAACACTTCATTATCTTCCTCTCAGAACCCGGATATCCCATCTTATCAACTTCAACTATTAACTTCTTCAATTTCTTCTCAATCATCTTTCTCAATCATCTACATTCAGTCCTACTTATCTCTGTCTCGTCTTCATCAACTAACTAACTCTCACTTTGGCTTGATTCTTTCTTTAAGTTTACATCCGATCAATTTTCAACTTCTTCAACTGTTCTTTCCCTTCTCCTCATCAAACTCTACCGAGTTCATCAATTTCAATCTTCAGCTTCAATTCAAGACTCATCAATCGATTCAATGACCTCATTCATCCAATTTATCCTATTGTTTTGATCATCTTCACCAACAAGTAAGTTTCCTCCTCTTCTCAATCTTGTTACTAATGGTCTCTCTTTTGTTTTCTAGATCTGATCAACGCTTCAATTCAACCCTCAATTTCATTCTAACTCCAACAACCCTCTTTTTGTTTTCAATTTTCATCTTCTCTAAGTTATTGTCTGTGCTGTCTTGTTTTCAATCCTCCTTCTCTCTCAATAAATTTATAAGTAAAAATAAAAGATGGATGCTTGTTAAGTTTGTTAATCAAGTGAACATGTTGTTGATTTTAAAAGTTAATATCTTTGTATTGATTTTAAAAGTTAATTTTCAATCTGTTAGTGAATCTTCTGTTTTGCTTTAAGACTGAATGAAGTAAATAAAAAGAATACATGAACAAGATTTTGTCTTGAATGGATTTGAGAAATGCAAGACTTGACTACTAATGAAGAGAGAGAAAAAAGGAAGATTGAAAAATAAAAAGATAATTTTAACTTGCTCCTATAAGTATCTCACCACAATGACCATGCACTCCAGAAAGGTGCAGGCACAAACCGTTGGATACATTCAGGAAGATGAAGCGCCATGTGATGATTAGGCAGGACAGGAAGTGAACTATAAAGTATGGAATATCCATTTCAATAGCTTTGCAGATGGTATTGGAGGGAGCCAATGTCCCACTCATTCAGTTCCAATCTCTGAACAATGTTCAATACACTTACACAGCCCGCAGCTACTAGGCTCTGTCAGGCCAGACATTACCACTGCTTCATGAAAGATTCATGAAAGATTCAGCAAGATTCCAAAACACCTTCAACATAATATCATGTGGGGCCATTTGCCTATCTGACCACCAAAATTCTGATGTCATCATATGATGTCATAAATCTGTACACACCTGCTTCTGTATTCACAGATCAAGCATATAGTCTATTAAACTTTATCATGTAAATTGACTGAGTTATTGGTGTTTAAAAAAAACACGGATAAAAAATACTATTTTTGTACTATACATAAGACGGGGATCTTGGATATCTTAAATCTTTATCAATATACATATAAAATAAATTTTATATTCCACAGTACAATACATGTTTCTACATTTTTTATTTTTGCAGTCTTTGTCCAAAAGGCATATTTCTATATGTAATTGTGAATTCTACATGAGGAATCCAATCTTTCCCTGATTTGTTGATTCTAGGAAGGATATGAATAAATTGATGGCAGAAACTTTTGGAAATTATTATTCACATGCATATCAGTCCATTTGTGCTTAATTTGGGCCCTACATTTCATCACAATTTGCCTCAAGGTCAAAGAACTTCAGAAAATCCAACTTCTGTATATAATCCACAATTACATATAAAACTACTACCCATAGACAAGGGCTGTAGGGAACATGGATGTGGAGAAACATAGTGCGGAAAATATTATCAAATTTGATGTACATGTATATTGACAAAGATTGAAGATATTCAAGATACGAGTCTTATGTATAGTACAAATATAGTATTTTTTATCCGTGATTTTTTTTCAAACCTCAATAACTCATTCAATTTACATGATAAAGTTTAATAGACTATATTCTTGATCTGTGAATACAGGAGCAGGTGTGTACAGATTTATGACATCATATGATGACATCAGAATTTTGGTGGTCAGATAGGCAAATGGCCCCATATGATATTATGTTGAAGGTGTTTTGGAATCTTGCTGAATCTTTCATGAATCTTTCATGGAGTCATGAGTGGTAGGCTCTGGCCTGCCAGAGACTAGTAGATGGGGGCTGTGTTATGAGATGGAGCACATTGCAGACAAAGTTGTGTTCTGTGAAGTCTGTAGCACCCTGGTCTTTGTGCAAGACAGAAATTATTGCAAGAATCATCATGACCTGGAAGAGAACCACCCATTCATCTGCCCTCAATTTCCCGCCCTTCCGTGTCCCTACAGTGCTAGGCACGCATCTAACCCGGGAAGGGGTTTTATATTTTGTGTGATATCTTGCAATGTAGCTAGTTTCTGAGAATCATCAAAAACTTTTCAACCAAGTTCATCTCCATCAGCATCTTCCAAGTCAGAGAGGTCTTCCTCAAATGTGTCATCTTCTAAAAAGCTTTCTGTCTGCCCTTGCGTTGTTTGAGCACTTTGGGGTGATGTTGCAGAACAAGTATCAATTTCTAAGTTCATTTCTTCAAATGCATACAACAACTTGTCATTGCTCTCTGCTGATAGATACCCTGAAGTTGCAGGGGAGATGATGATCCTAATTGCGGTTCTGGGTTTTCTGAGGCTGGGTCAACAAAGCAATCCTTCAAATACATGTCTGATGCTACAGTCTCTGTCTCCAAGTCTTCAACATTGCTAGTATCCCCGTTCCTTGGATCTTTGGCATATTGTGGGTCAGACTTCATTCCAAAAGCCCTTGTAACATGGTTCTTGAGGATATCAAGAAAGATGTTATGCATTGGTTCTACAATTGTGTGGCTAAGAGGATCAAAATACGGAAGCTTCCATAGGACAGAGTATTGCACGCCGTATTCAGCAAAGATTTCCTTGGTGGCGCAAACAAAGGCACAACTTTGCGCTGAGTTCCATGACTGAGGGCCACGTTAGAATAGATGTTAGCATATGCTAATACCAAGAGGAAAACTCTGAGACGGAAAATTTTCCCCTGCAAGTTGGGCTAAGAAAATTCTTCCTCTCACATTCTCTCGGTCTCTCACGTCTGGCAAACTAACGCTAGTCAAGAACTCATATCAATTCATAGAATATCAATTCAATTGAGATAGAGACGCGCTCTTCTCTTATGCACTTATAAGTTTCTTTTGCTTACATCATTTATCTGTTATGACGTCATGAATTGAGTTTGTATAAAGGGTTTCTCATATTATTCATTGTAATCTTTTTCCTTTATCAAACTTAATTCTTTTGTTTTAACAATCTTCGTTCCTCAGATTGTTCTTTCTCTACGATCAAGTGTGTTAGCTTTATACAAAGCTAATAACCTGAACGTCACAGGTGTAAGTTGTTATAGTTGTTTTGATATTAGTAGTAGAATAAGAAATCGAACTTAATCCTTTTGTTTTAACAATCTTCGTTCCTCAGATTGTTCTTTCTCTACGATCAAGTGTGTTAGCTTTATACAAAGCTAATAACCTGAACGTCACAGGTTCATCATTCAATTAATTCTTGTACTTTAATCTTAAAGTCTTTCAAATATATCAAAGCCTAACATACAACAGATTCAACCACAGATACCTCCCTGATTTCAATAATCCAAGAAAAGGAAAAATATGGTTACTTTTGCACAAGAACTAGAAGAGTCCAGGAGACTAGCTGAACTTGCTCTGACCGACGGGGACTCAAAGCCCAGAACACAAAGCAGGTCAAGAAATTGTAACAACAACCAAGACAAGATTGAAGATGTCAACAATGATGAGAATGAACCCCTGGGGTGAAGAATACTACGATGACGATGAGGTTCTAATCAATAATCCAGAAGATGATCCCGAGGACGTCTCTGACTATGACGGACTAGAGAGCAATGAAGACCTACAGGACAGAAATTCCAACCAAAACGTAGCAGCACCAACCGGAAATCTAGCTCGTGGGGCTGTAAGGCTTCCTAGAGATTCAGCTGAAGAGGAGAACGCACAAGGAGTGCCATTGGTAGGAGTAAAAAGAGACCCAAAACATGGTGAGTATCAATCTGTTGGATATCAGGAAATCAAAAATCACCTTTCTGTCACCAAGAGTCCAAAAATCCCTCATCACAATACACTTCCCCTGTTTTATAATCTCGTTCAACAAACCCCATACACAGCCCCCAACTACTGGTCACTGGCAGGCCAGTACATCCGATGTCTCCAAAATGTTTTCAACAAAACTTCAATTTGTTTTCAGCATAACATCCATCTGCTATCAAGATGTTTTGGGTCAGTTACCAGCAAAATATGTCATACTACCAAAATTGAGATGATGTCATACAGCATCATAAACCTGTACAAACCTGCTCCTGTATTTCCCCACCAAGAATATATAGTTTATTAAACTTTGTGACGTAAAGTGACTGAGTTATTGAGGTTTGAAAAAAAATCACGGGCAAGGAATACTATTTTTGTACTATACCTACGCCCGGTTTTCTTTGGGGCTTTACCCGCAGATTCCGCGCACACCCGGACCCGATTGAGCCAAATTTTGCCGCAGCCGCAGTCTTTTCCGGGCGCAACGCTCTCCAACAGCCCGATTTTCACAAACCGGGCTGTGAAACCATAAAAACAGGCTGCTGAAGTCAACCCGATTTCCTGAAACCGAGCTGTGAGCTCTCGATTGACCCAATACAAATTGTTGCCTGACCTCGCCTGACGCTCACCTTCATCTTGAAGTTGACAAGTACCATCCAAATCTCGACAAGCCTCAAACCACCCAATACACCACATCTGAAAATGGTAAGTTCTTGTTGTCATTTTTCCTCATCTCTTCTCCATCAATGAAACAAGTGCTGACTGTTCAATACCCATCAATCTATGCCCAATTGTTCCACTCTTGGGCGATTGTTTTTCTTGCATCTGGCAACCAAATCCTCATACATCTTCTTGTGATGGATCCAAATTATCAGAGTCTCTCACTTTATGAAGCTATATCAATGTGTGTATAGTGTCAGAAAGATTGTGGAACGTTTAGTACAACTCAGACTATGCAATCAAATCAATGAAAATTAGCTAGAATGATTAGCCAAAGAATGAAGCCATTTGGAGGGGCTTTTTGACAAGTGCACTTTGAGATTCATTATCTTGGGACTCAAGGTGTAAACCTGTTTGCATAAAAATTGAGACATCGATATAAAGATGGCAAAAAGAGAAACAAAAGTTGAGGCAGCCCGGTTTCAACCCCGACCGGGCTGCAAAGACGTACAGCCCGGTCTACTATCCGAAAACCGGGCTTTGGGTTTTTGAAACCGGGCGCCAAATAGTGCTCTCCTTCTGGAATATCTTCCAGCTTCCTCAGTATACATACACAAAAAAATTGACATTCCTTTTGAAAATATGTTTCTCAACATCTTGGTCCCCTAAAGCCTTCCTGTATGGGCAATATTTCTATATGTAATTGTGGTGTGTACATGAGCAGTCAACAATCTGATTGATTCTTTGATTCTAGGCAGAATATGGCAAAGTTTATGGCAGAAAATTTTGTCAAATACCATATACATGTATATCAATCAAATTCAGAATGATTTTGGTAATATGTTCCCTCCAAGTTTGTCTTGGGGCAAAGAACTTCAGAAATTCAAACTTGCAGACACATTCAGGAATTACATGTAGAAATACTGCCCATACAGGAAGGCTTTAGGGGACAAAGATGTGGAGAAACATATTTTGAAAAGGATTATCAATTTTTTTTGCATGTATATTTATAAAGCTAGAAAATATTCCAGAATCAATTCTTAGGTATAGTACAAAAATAGTATTTTTTGTCCGTGATTTTTTTTTTCAAACCTCAATAACTTGGTCAATTTATGTCACAAAGGTTAATAAACTATATCTTCTTGGTGGGGAGATACAAGAGCAGGTTTGTATAGGTTTATGATGCTGTATGACATCATCTCAATTTTGGTGGTATCCCAACCACTTCTCAACAAATTCTCAATCAATGGATGTTATCCATTTGATATCCACCTCATAACTTGCTCATAACTTGCTCATAACTTGCTAGGGTCGGTGGGAGGCGCTGGCCTGCCAGTGACTTGTGATTGGGCCTGTGCCTACAACTCTTGGGCAGAAGCCATGATGACTGCTGTATTTCTTGAGAACATGACACCAGGTAAAGTGACAAACAACAAGTCCGCTTATGAGTCATGGTTTGGCTGCAAATTTGACTACACCAGACCAAAACCTTTTGGCTGTCAAGCTTATGTCCTTATTCCAAAACAATTTTGGCAAAAATTTGACAATACCTCAGTCAAAGGTATCTTGTTGGGTTACTAAGTTGGTATGAAGAACTGCCAGATTTGACTGGAAGACGGCCGCATTGTGTACTCTGATGATGTTACATTCAACCGCAACAAATTTCCAGGAGTTGAAGGTGAAGGTGAAGCCAATGAATCAACAATAACTCACCTCTTCAGTGAAGAAGATGAAGAAGATGAACTCCCTCTTGAGTCATCTGTCATGTCCTTACCAGAACCCACAAGATCCAAAATCAATTCGACAAAGATCCCACAACTCTCTCCTCAACCTTCATCATCAATTGTTGATCCAACGTCACCAACAATGGATGAGCTAGAACTTCTGCACAACAAAGACTCAAATGACGATGAAGACATCATGAACCAACACACCAATCATTCAAGACTGGGGTGGGACTGGCAGCTTCAAGGAGATGCCCCAAAAAACATCCCTAGCAGCATTGACACACCAAACATCCTACCCAAAGGTTCCAGTCAAAGGTGTGCTGTGGTAGGTGTGAAACTCAACATGTCTACTCCAAAGCCTATTCCCAAAACCTACAAACAAGCACTGATGACAGACAAGGAAACTGAATGGAATCAAGCCCTCACCAACGAGTGACTCAACATGACAAGAAGAAAGGTTTGGAGTGTTGTTACTTTACCCAAAGATCACCATGCCATACACTACACAAAATGTTAGGGCCCGTTCGTCTGGAAACCAAATACGGTTTTTGGCCAAATACTCCACCAAAGCCAAAAACTGTATTTGGCCAAATACAATTTTTGGTTTTTGACAAAAAGACCAGTGTTTGGCAAGGGTCTTTGATCAAAACCAAAAACGGTTTTTGATCAAAAAATCTTCAATTTTGAAAAACAGCCCTGAGGCTGTTTTTGAGACCAAAAAGAGTTTTTGGCCTCATTTGCCCCTCCATTTTGATTTTTCATTGACCAATTTGGTCGACTGTTTGGTAAACGAAAAAGCCAAATTTTGAGTTTTTCAATCTGCCCCTTGCAAAAAGGGCAGATCAACAATCGTTTTTGTGTGATGATTTTTTCAAAATCCAGCCAAACGGGCCCTAATCTCTACCGTGCGGTAAAGAAAACTACTGGCATAGAAAAATCCTGAGGCAACAAGAAGAGAGCTAAAAATCTGAAAAAATATGCACCTTGTTCCTAGATGTTGGGGTGTCATGATGAGTATTTTTTTATATTTTACACACAGATATTGGTTAATGTACTAACAATAAAGGCTGAGAATCATCAAAAACCCACCTATAATAATACATGAAATTTGGCCCATGATTTTGAAAACAGGATTTTGAAATATTCAAACATCAATAACTTTTGCAGTTCTGAATCAAATCTAAACCTTTTCTCTACATTTATCATTCAGGCATCACATCTGTAGCCGGTCTAGTGCAAAAGATCCTACAGAGCTATTTATTCAGAACTGTTTGAACATATGTAGAACATTTACATGACTAGATAACACCTTACTACCTTTTTGAAGTGTAAAGGAGAATGGTTCAGGTTTTGGATGGATCAAAAATCAAGTCATTTGGAGCAGAATTGCAAAAGTTATTGAAGTTTTTAGACCACAAAATATTGTCTTCATAATCATGTCCCAAATTTCAGGTATTGTTACAGGTGGGTTGTTGATGATTTTTAGCCTTTATTTTTGGTAAATTAACCAATATCTGTTCGGTAAAATACAAAAAAATACTCATCATGACGCCCCAACATCTAGGAACAAGGTGCATATTTTTTCAGATTTTTAGCTCTCTTCCTGTTGCCTCAGGATTTTTCTATGTCAGTAGTTTTCTTTACTGCCTGGTAAAGATTACATTTTGTGTAGTGATAGGAACTACGTGGGTCTTCAAGAAGAAGATGGGTGCCAAGGGTGAACCACTCAAATTCAAGGCAAGGTTGTGTGCACTTGGTTTCCTCCAGTACTTTGGAATAAACTACAGCAAGAACTACGCCCCAACAGGACAACTAGCAACATTCAGATCAGTATGCACCATAGCGCTAGAAGAGGACCTTGACATCATACAAATGGATGCCGTGGCCGCCTTCCTGAACGGAAGCCCAAAGGAAACAATCTACATTAAGATTCCCAAGGGTTTTGATGTTGAAAACGCAACTGAAGACACCATTTTACAACTACATCAAGCTCTGTACGGCCTAAAGCAAGCACCTAAGGCTTGGTATGACATGTTGAAGGTGTTCTTGGCCACCATATCCCTTTTTCCTTCAGAAATGGATCCTAGTCTCTTCATCTCATCCGACCCACTATGGTGCTGCATAGTCCACGTTCATGTCGATGACATGGTTATTGCCTCAAATGATGCTGATTGCTTCAAGAAGGCCATCTCCAAGCAATTTCAAATGAATGAAAATACAGAATTCAAGTACATTCTAGGAATGAAGGTTGTCAGAGATTGAAAGGCAAGAACTGTTACACTCTCTCAATCCCAATACATACAAGATCCACTCAAAGACTACGGTATGGAAGACTGTAAACCTGTTGGCTCACCAATGATTCCCAACAGCTACCTCATACAAGGTACACCCAAGGAGCAACAAGAATTTCTAAGTTTAGGAGTACGCTACCAACGGTCAGTAGGCAAACTCGTGTACCTTAACAACGCCACTAGACCCACCCTGTCCTTTGTAGTATCTCAACTATCTCAACACTTGAACAACCCATCAATAACACACTGGATTGCCTTCCAGAGAGCTCTCCAATTTCTGAAGGGCAGTCAAACTCTAAGTCTCAAATGAGGTGGTTCAGATTTAAAACTCAATGCAGATGCTGACACTGATTTTGCCACTTGTACCGTTACCAGGAGATCTACTGGAGGCTATGTTACAAGGTTAGGTGAAAGCACGATAAATTGGAACTCCAAAAAGCAAGACACAGTAGCCACATCAACAACGGAGGCAGAATACCAATCAGCTTATGAAGGAGGTCAAGATATAGTTTGGATGAATGATTTAGTAAAGGGTATAGGGATTCAGCAAGAAGACGCACCATTATTCAAGTTAGATAATCAGGGAGCAATAGCACTATCAAAGAACAAAAAATTCAAGCAAAGAACAAATCATGTCAACGTAAAATATCACTGGTTACAAGAACTTTCCTCAAGCAAACAACTTCAAATTCAATATGTTCCATCCAATGACATGATAGCAGACATGATGACTAAAGCACTGACACCTGCAAAACATGGAAACGTTTGCACACTCTTAGGCTTACAAGATGTTCCAAAGATGAGGGAATCAGGATCACGAAGTGATCCCTTGACAAGCACATTACGTGTAAGAACACTTACTGATCAAATACGCATTATGGATACGTTTCTCTTTCACATTATGCCACAATGTTAATTTCTCTAAGATCATTTACATAAAAGGAACAAGCCTCTACACATGTTGTCTTCTTTCTCTTTATTGAACTCATACGTTTTGTCACAGTGTCATTTTACTACTCACTGGCAGGCCAGTGAGTACGTCCAGCTCAATCCAATCTCAAATCCATGTCAGTTCAATATCAATCCAATCTCAATGTTTGGCCTAGAGTAGCAGACAAACAACCTTCCATAATGAACTGGAATAAAGTTTGGTTGCATGACCACACATGGAGGTGTCAGAATGTCTGGAAGGTTTGAGAGATTATGCAGTCCATGCATATCCCCCACTCAAACATAATTGGCAGTCAAACTGATATTGAATTGAGATTGAATTGAGATTGGATTGAGGTGAATGGAACTCACTGGCCTGCCAGTGACTAGTAAAATTACACTGTGTGTGTGCTACAATCTTTCTTACAGAATGTGTTTCCTCTTCGATCAACCTCAGTCTTCCCAGTTAAGACTTTGTCTGATCTTGTTCCTTCTCAGATATTGTGTTTTCTCTTTGATTGACCTGAGTCTTCCCAGTTAAGACTTTCTCTGATCTTGTTCCTTCTCAGGATAGGAGAATTCCACAAATACCTTTGTTCCTCTCTCAACATAAGATAATGAAGGTGCAGAGGCTCTTGCTCAAAATCCTTCTCATCACTTTTGAACAAAGCACATCCATACAAGGTTTCATTTTGTCCAACAATGTGTTGAAGAAGGAATAGTAAAATTGGTTCATGTTTCTTCTGCAAAGATGCTGGCAGATATGCTGACTAAGGGATTGTCAAAGGTTTTACCAATAAAGCATAGATTATCTTTAAGTGTTTTTCAATTGTGTTATTAGCACAGGGGGGTGTTGTGAAGTTCACATATGTGTAATGATGCTAATACATTTCTCTCTTACTAAATATCTTTATAACCTATAAGCATATGTTAGTTCTTATATTGCATCACAAGTTGTTAGATGGATTTGTCTTCCTCACCTTTCCTATTTGTTCTGACTTCTCTTTCTAGCTGGAGAAGTCCATCTTATCATTTTGAATGCTTTTCTTGCTGCTGATGCAGCTTTTCAAAAACCTCATTCATAGTGCTTGATAGAAAAGTATGCTTTCATCTAATGTTGTAACATAAACCTCACCCAATTTTGTATCCTTTGAAATGTTTTAAGAAAATGTAATTAATTGAGTGCTGGATGACAATACTTCAATACTATATTTGGTATAGGCTATAGTAAACACTATACCATACAATGCTTTTCTCAAAAACTACAGTACCCACTATACTATACCACACTATACTATACTATTTTTTGAAGTATAGTCTAAGCTATACTGTACCAAGTATAGTGCTACACTGGTACAGTACAGTATAGTATAGTGGCCGTGTTGCAACATATACTTTAATCCAAGGATAATATGTTGCCAGCACAGCATTCGTACTTGAAGTATGAGAAACCTTTTTTTGGTCAAACAAGAAGCATTTCACTGCACCAATATTTGAAAAAAAAACTTGCATGAAGTCAAAAACTAGTGCTTACAAAACAAATCATGTATAGTTCCAACAAAACAATTTATGAAACCCCATGATTCAAAATGAATTACAAAAAATATATAAGTAAGTTTTTATTGTCCAAACCAGAAACACATTGAACAAATAAATAAAGAGAAAGCAGTGAGAATTGATTGCGGGATGGATAGATGGACAAGTTGATGAATTACAGACAGGTTCAAAACTATAAGTTATACATGACCAAAATAAACCTTGAAAATTTACCAAAACTGAAAAAGCTAATAAATTAAAATGAACTCAGTGTCCTTGAATGAGAAAGAAAGACAGTGAAAATCAAGATCATAATGATTTCTTCAATCCATCCAACCATCTAGAATACAATAATTCAGAAATACTACTTCTAGGTGGATCAAGAAGTTCTGAGTCTTGACTAGAATCTTGTGTAACGATCGTATTAGTTGAAACGTTTCGTTTCTGTTCAATCTCTCTTGTTTTTCGTACTATTGAAGGATTATTGAGATTCGAGGAGTCTTTTTCAATTTTAATATCAAGATCGTGAGACTCATCAGGATATTGATTCAAAAAGTGAGCTTTTTCTTTAAGAGAATGGTTTGAGTGATCGTTATTGGATCGCTTAGATCCCAGTGAACCGCCTTGGCTTTGCCCGTCATTAAACACCAAATCATTTCGAGACATCTCTGCACAAATGCTCGAATTCCTATTGGATCAATCAAACACCAGTAAGTAAATCTATCACACTACACATCCCGATTACACAAGGATAAAAGGAAAATCTATACTGACTCTTGAACGCCTGTAATCAAATTCAATAAAAGTGTACTACCAGCATCAGGATTTTGATGCACCAGATTAACAAAACCTTCTTTGATCATCTGTAATGAATCATGAACTTCGCTCGACTTGCTTCGCGGAGGGAAATCCTGACCTATCTAGATATTTTGGAAAGTGTCGCATGAAAAGGATGTCGAAATCATTTAGCTATCGCCAATAGATGTATACGATAAAAGTACCTAAATTTTGATCACACCTTATCAAGAAGAGGCAATAACACAAGACTATTGATCATTTTGCCCAAATGACCATGTGAAGGTGTGTTGTTTATCTCATTGGCTCCGATCGAAGTCGTGCCCTCTGAATCTGCACTCACACGAGATCGCGATTGGTTGGATTCTTCAAGTCTCATTTGATTCAGTCGAACATTCAAAGACTGTGGCTTGATTGATCTCGTGGGTTTGACAGTATGAGATCTGTGACATGGTAATAAATATAAAAAGTGAGCATCATCGTGAATGTGACTACAAGAAAATGTCAGAACATACCCGTCTAGCGAATCTTGACCTGTTTCCCGCGCGCTTTCCTGCAATGCCAATCTATGAAGACTAGCTTGGTTGGTTTTTCGGAAATGGGTAGTAGCTACAGAAGGCGAAGGTGGTGGTGAAGCCAATGAGGGAGTAGAGCTCTGACGTCCGCCAAGTAAATGGACAGATGGTGAAGATGGACTTTTGGTGAACCGAGTTTCTGATTCATGTAAGCCATGATCACCATGTCCAGCCGGAACACCCAGTGTAGTACGTAGAGGTGAAGCACTCATCGCTTCACGTGCTGCTTCTAATTCATCTTCATCACCACTATCGTTCTCATCATCATCATCATTCACTGAGGACTGAATCATCTCAGCTTGAGTTTCTTCTACTTGTTGAATTTGATGCTCTACAAGTTCGGTATCAGCATTATTCAAGATATTCTCAATCACCGTCTCAGGTTTAATTGTGTTTTGATAATCCCAAGATGAAGTTATTGTATCGTGATCTGAGATTGAATTCGCAGTTTTGAAGTCCATAGTCGAGTGGCTGACATCTTTCGTCTTGACAGTTCCGTCATGATGACTATGAGTCCTCTGCAAAGATTTGCGAGCCCTCCACACGCTATGACGTTCGATTAACTCGACAAGACTAGTAGATTCTTTGCCAGCAATGCCTTGGTCAGGATGATGTCCACCTAAAAGTTTTTGACCATTAGCAATGAAACCAGTGAGACTTTTCTTCAAATTTAACGGATTATGACCTGTCGATTGTCGTTTTTTAAGAAAAGGGTGATTGAGAAGTTGAAGTGCATTGGGTCGATGTTGAACGTCTTTTAGAAGACAACAATCAATGAAATCTTTGAATTCATCTGAAAACAATTTAATTCGTTCGGCATCCAGGTTATCTTCAAGTGTTGGAGATTTAGCCTTAGGGATCAAAAACAGCACTCTCAACGGATGATATTCCGCTAGTGGTGGTTGACCTTTGGCTAATTCGATTGCAGTAATTCCTTTGAAAAGATCAAAAAGGGTCACCGTCAGTGACGTTACTAATGTTAATGACGCAAAATTCTTTTCAAAGACCAAATTGAACGAACCTAAACTCCAAATATCAGCTTTTTCATCATAACTAGACTGTTTAATAACCTCAGGAGCCATCCAGAAAGGTGTTCCAACAAACGTATTTCGTCTTGACTTATTATTGCTCAATTGAGTAGCAACTCCAAAATCTGCTAACTTGATCTTTCCTTTGGAAGAGACTAAGATATTGGCAGATTTGATATCACGATGAATTTTCTTCTTTGTGTGTAAATATTCAAGACCTAGTAAAAGTTCATGAATCACAACTTGAATAGCACTTTCAGGAAATGGTCCAGGTTTTAATAAATCCAAACAAGATCCTCCTGATAAATATTCCATCACTAAATCGATCAAGTTGTTAACAGTCAGTAATCTCATCTCAAGATCTTTGAATCCGAAACGTCGACTTACCGATCCAAAGCTTGTAACCCTTTACAAAACTACCGTAGTATCGCACAATGAACTCGGAATCACAGTCTGATAAATGACTAATTTCTTTTTGAATTCTTGAAACAGTTCATAATGAAAATTGAGGGTCAGCCATGCTCTGTTTCCCGTCCTGGAATGGCTAGCCGATCATCTCAACTAAAGAAATCACATACTCTGATATGTCATCATCACTATTTTCCAAATCAATTTGTTTAACAGCGACAATTTCACCTGTGACTTGATCGAGAGCCTTGTAAACAACTCCAAAGTTACCATGTCCAAGTTTTTCCAAAAGCTTATACCTTTTGCCCAAGTCATCAGAAGGTTGAAATGAAGGAGGTGATGATTGACTAGGAGTTGAACCGGTGCGGGATGGCTGAGCTGGGGTGACCATGTTGATCAAACTTAAAGTCGAATTGTCCGAAAGTTGTTTGATGAGAAGATTGGTCGTGGGTCACGTGATCAAGTAGGTTTCTCACTCGTTTCAACTTGAAGGTTTAAAATATGCGATCGAGACTCGAAGATTGAGCAGTGAGGATTAGCAATGGTGGCACGAGCTGATGAGGATTATGCGTTGAGGTGAAGTGCGTATGTAATTGAGTGTCCTAAGAAGAATTGGGGTGAGGATCTTCAGCCAAGGTCAGGTGGGTTTTGGGATTGAGACTGAGCGTGGAAAAGTTTGATTGGTTGGATTAACAAATTGGAATGAATTCGATGAAAACCGCAAAGTTTACTGAGAAGAACAAGTGGAATTTATGTTGTATGTTACCCATCTTATCATGGCTTCATCTTCGACTTCCAACTCCAACAACAACCTCTTCATTTATTTAGATATGTACCTTTCAATCATCCTCAAAGAAAACCTTTCTTCTATAGAACCTCAAAGGACAAAATACCATTTATCAAATGGTAATATCCATCAGTCAACTGCCCACAAAGCAAACACACAAATATATAGCACGCTGAGAAAACAGTAAAGGCGTTGATAGATACCTTTGTGTATGATGGAAGTTTTGAAAAGTACTAGACTCACATCATCAAATCCATTTCAACTTCAACCACCCTCAAAGGGTGAAGAGCCATAAATGAGAGAAATGCATGTACGATGAACATTTGACAAAGTCGAGTTCATGAACTTCTTGCAACACTCTTCGCGTACTCAATGACTTTACCGATCACCAAACCATTCAATTTTCACTGTTCATCTGATAATTGCAAAACATTGCAAAACTAGACTTGAATCGAAAGCTGACGACGAAGGGGAGCGCTCTCCTCGATGTCAAAGCCTGTAATGTTCAAATGCGCTCAACGACTCCTAAAGAGTAGGGGTTCTCAAAGTAGACCCGGTTTGTAAAAACCCGGTTGACCCAGTTGACTTTTTGGCTGTGATCTGTCAAAAAATGTCAACTCGATACACAAGGTTACTGCCAAAAAGCAACCGGGTCAACTGGGTTTTCTTGAAACCGGGCCAACTTTGAGAACCCCTAGTAGTGTATACCGTGCAAAAGATTATATGTCGTTCAGAACTCTATAGCAGGCCTTCATAGTCAGTCTCCTTCAAAAGCTCTTCTCCATCATCTTGCTCATCTTACCCGTGCAGAACTGTTTGTGGTAGTAATCGAAACACCGAATTAAGCAATTGCCATATAACATCATTGTCCTGTCTTATTTCTCTCAAACACAGCATCTATGTCTGCGTTCAGAGCTAGGAGTATGAGATATAAACTATTTTACCAATTCTTCTTGGGGGTGAACGCAATCAGCCTACTTTCATTCATTGATACATGAGAAATTGATGTCTCTATTGATTGGTTGCTCTATATAGGTACATAATTAAATTACAGAAACCTGATCCAAAAATTTATGCTTTCTTTTCTTGCCTTCTCCACATCTCAGCGAAATCTTCAGGATGAGATGCATCTTCGACGCCCTGCCATATCAGACATCGACCGTATTAGTTAACACAGTTTTCTGTTATCGAGTCATCCTTTATAGAGAACGGTTTATCAAATACCTTGTCATCTCTGATTCGATAAAAACGTGGAAATCTTAATGATAGACCTCGATCTGGATCTATTAATCCTTGCGCCGCCTTATACACTGGACTTAGCGTAATATCTGCCAAGATTTTCCACCAATTACCAGATTAGACACTTCATCTTTATGCAAGCTATTTCTTCCACCGCTGCGGAAATAGGAGAATAATGAAAATCATAAGACGAACTGACCAGCACCTCGAATTTCCCATACTTCACTTGGTAAAAACCAAACATCAGGTGTATGACCACCACTTGATTCAATATAACCTAATTGTTTCTCAGCAGAGCATCGAGCTGTTCCTTTCGTATAGCGAGCACCTAGATCTTTATAGCTAATTAAACAGTCGTGGGAACGAAGACGATCAATTTTTCAGCAAACAATAAGATTAGCAGACCAAAATAATTTAATGTAAATATATAGAAGACAAACAATTGGTCATTGAATCCTGATATACATTTACAAACCGCCTGAAATCCACCACTCTCAGGGTCATAAAGCGCTAACAAGACTGGTGACCTACCCAATAGCGTGATTTGATAGATTGTCCTCAGCAAATAAACGTTGATATCGAAATGGAAGAACTTCAACTCACCAGAAGCTCGCCTTACGGCCTTGACCATGCCAGGCACCAATGGGTACCAAGTCTAAGCTATCACCCAACTCTCCATAATCTTTTTTGACTTTAAGCCAACTATCTGCTCGTTTATCAGGCTCATAACTTGCTAGTAAAGCTTTCTTACGTGATCGCTTCGCCCCAACCGTTGAATCCAAATTGGCCTGATCATCTTGTCCTACCATTCTATCCTCTTCTTCTGAGCCTGATACCTCCATATTACCATCAACATCCTGATCCATCACCATGGAGCTTGGTGAGGTCTGACTATCCAAAATCTTGACCATGATTCCCTCACATTTATTAGCCACAGCTTCCAACATAAATTCACGGACTTCTTGCAACTTAGTCACTGTTGATTCCATCGAATTAACATGATCGAAACGTGCAATCAAGTTGCATCTTGTAGATCCTTCGGTTGGTACAAAAGGCGGAAGATGATCTTTCAATAGTGATCTACGCTTTCGGAATGCCTCGGCCAAGAGAGGCTAGACATGTTTGAAAGCATTCGGCAAAAATGAGTCAGTTACTTGTGAAACGATGGTATGAGAAATTAAACCACGCTCCTGTGTTCAAACTTACCTTTCCATTGAGATACATCAAGTCGAATGCAAAGATTCCTACTTGGATATCAACGTCTTCTATCTTGACATCCTTCCTACTACGGTTGGCCAAAGATTGGAACGATTTTAGCTGGCCTGTTACAGGATCAATCGCACATATCTGTTGAAGAGATAGGTTAAACCTCTCGTCATAGGAAAATCCTTGCATATCCACGCACCTCTGCATCCAGTATAAATGAACTCAGGCATTCCTGTGGTTCGCATGCATCCTCCATTGATCCATTTCCTGTGTCTTTCACTATTTCATGAGATTCACTAGCTTTTCCTCGCTCGAACAAGGCCACAACCAAATCCAGAACATCTGGATACTTATCAGTCATATCCTGCCATAAAATTCGTTAAAAGGAGTATAGAGAGTATGAGCAAACATAAACATCTGATAAAAAATGTCGGTTCAAGTTACCTCAAGATGACGACTAAATAGTCTGACAAAGATATCTTTTTGAGTTCCTACCCATTGACCCCCTCTGATGTTATGATGATGTCCATCTTTACCACGTTTGGCGTGTATTTGCACGCGTTGTCCATCGTATTTCCACCTATCATTCACAGCATCAAGGAAGAGCAAGTAATGAGGAAAACATCAGGGAGTGATCAGAATATTAGGCTCTGTGCCACGAAAACGTCTCATAAAACAAAAAGTGAGAATAATTCGAGGACTGACTCAGCTACAAATTCTTCATCTGCTTTTAGCCTTTGCTCAACATCACTCAAGTCTCGAGTGATCTGTCCAAGCATAGGAGATATTGGAATTCCTACAGCTAAAGGAACCTTTTCAGAAAGCGTTTCAAGACTGCCTTCATCAAGCAGAGCTGGCTTCATATGCGTGGAATTTGAATTGGTCATCATCAGTTATCAAAAGTTCAGTTCATTGGGTTGTAAACACGTACAATAATAGAATCATAGTTCGGATGTCGAACATAAACCTCTCGAACGATCTTCTGAGCTTGTGTGAGTATTTTCAAAGTTTCCAATCGTCCAGGTTTATTTGTTTCTATAGCTTTAGCTTTACCTTTCAAGTTTTTGTCAATGACAGCTTGAATTCCTTGCCTGTCATCAGGAGCAATCCAATGTTTTCTGATGTGATCAGACTGTGATGATGTGGTAGATGATCGGCTGAGGCAGAAAGCTTGTGCTAATGATGATGTAACAGTCAGCTTGACTGCACCAATCCGAAGGTTTCGGCACATTATCTGTGGACCAGATTAGGGAAGGTTTACCGTTGGACGGATCAGTTGAAGGGTCACATAAACGGTACACTAAGAGGCACACATTCCTCATGACTCAACTCTAACTAGAAATCTGACTTCTTCCCCCTTGGCAGAGACTATAAGTTTTTTAACAACCTCAACTTTGGTGTCCACAGAGCCAGGCCCTTTCAAATGAGAAAGATTATATAGATCATCGAATACTGATTGGACAGTGAGCTGTGCGGTACGACTAAATAGCGTTCTGACTGATCTTCGAGTTTCGAATGCAACATCACCCGGATCACCTGTTTTGCAAATCCAAGTCAGGAAGATAGGTAAGGAACAGAACTGAATTTCAAAATCATCATGTCTATCTCTGACCATGTTTGTTCCAAAGCGCCTTGAGCTCTTTGTGGGACACGTCGGAAACAGCTCTGATAGCCTTAGTCAAGATCTGGGATCCAATTCCCAGCTCAATACCCTCGTACGCCGGGCCAAAATGGCCAGTTATGAGATATACTGTAGGTAAAAGGCTAGATGGGTCATGCTCAATGATTGTTCGGAGTAAGTTGGTCAAGATAGCTACACGCGTGTAAGCAAAATTAGAGAAGAGGAAAAGACACATCAGCAAAGTTCGTATATCCTGATCCACTAAACTTTTACGACGCTTTCACTTACTGGTGATGCTTAATCGTGAACGCGTAGCAGAGATGGATACAAAACCTTCTGCAAGAAAGCTATATGGCACCTTCTTAGCTGGTGTACACATGGTAGAATTTGTAGCTAGCTTTTTCTTAGGTGACTTGGATTGATTTTGTGAAGAATATATTGGCCAAGTTGATGTATCAACCTTTGCGGGATCGAATTCAAAGATATCCAAACATAATGAATAATGCGTCTTTGTGTTGGATTGTGACGCTTGACCTGAAAGTGTATTGATTGAAAGTTGAGCTTTTGTAGCAACCTTTGGACAGTTTGGACCTGGTGATATCGGTAGTGGAACGGCTGAGATAGAGGGTACTGAAGAGTTTAGTGAACTTTTCGAGTCTTCTCGTTGGGTTTGCTCATAGTAAGCCTGATCGTCGTCTCCGGCCAAACTTCGAGCGAACTCGGCATCCTGTTCTAGTTGAGAAAGACCACTTTGTTCAACCTTGGGTAAACCAAGAAGATCTGAACCATTCGCAGCGCCGGTGGACGATTCGATCCGTGATGAACTTTGCTCAGGCGACAATCGTGAGCCTTCAGCTCTTGCTTGACGATCAACTGTTTGAACGGGTGGTGAAAAGAAACTTGCGATCGTGCGCTGAGAAGCTGACTTTGACTTCTTCGGTGTCCCAGACGGATGACTAGAGTCATTGGTCCTTTTGGATGGCATAGTGATTCGATGAAGATGACACTTGAGCATCAACTGAAATGATTGAGGACGGTTTAAGTTTTCGAATGACTCATGTAGATGGAAAGTGAGGTCATAGGTACAAACCAGATCCCTCCAGATCCTCATCAGAAGTCAACTGTCAATTTAATTTCGCTCGTTACACCCTATCACAAGTTCTCTCTCCTGCTTGGTAATCTGTCAAGGGCCTTGCATTGATTTTGAGCAGGCCGCAGCATTTGCCAGGAGAATGACTCGCAGGGTGACTCGCGATTTGCAGGGACTGTGCTCTTCATGCTCCTATGTATCACATCCTAACTTTTCCTCTCATGCTTTGCTTGCACACCCAGTGGTAAAAATATGCATGTCTAGAGTTTGTTGCCGCAATACCTTTTTCATGGACACCACATCTTAAAATTCTTCATTTTCGTTTTCTTAAGGTATATTCCATAAAAATTGATCGGGCTTGGCGGAGCAGACATCCAGATTCCAACGGAAAGTGGCTGTACTTGCCTGATGGGATTTCGTGACGATTGATGCAGATGTTAAAGGACGCGTGCAAATCCTGAATTGGTACCGAAGAGAGTGACTGTGGCCCGGCTGCGGATCGGTCGGACTAGTCGGATAGTGCTCGTATGAAGTTCAGATTCCGATACAGGAAATTTTTCAAACTCAAAATTTCTCCAACGAACTCTGTAAAAATATTAAAACTCAAAAGACGGTCTATCAAATCTCGGAAACTTTTAGCCTCAACAGTAGACTTCCTTGAAAATGTGTAAGTCTGATTACCAAATTTTTTGGTTCTAACCCGTGATGTTAATGGCTAATGTCCAATATCCTGTTGCATTGAATTCTTCCATTACACCTGCTTTGATTGGACATTGACATATCTTATCGCGACTAGGTGGCGTCATAGGTTTACTTTTGGGAACTGTCGAGGCTAACGCCGCACCTGATATCTGCGAGGGGTTGAATCTATTACAACATCGTGGGCAGGACGCTTGCGGAGTGGTCACATGTGGACCCAAAGGTCGTTTCTATCAATGTAAATCTAACGGAATGGTTCGGGATGTCTTGGACGCCCACAGTGTCGCTAGTTTGGTAGGAAGCATGGGTGTCGGACACGTGCGATATCCTACCGCCGGAAGTACCGCACATGCCGAAGCTCAACCCTTCTATGTCAATTCGCCCTATGGAATTGTTTTGGCACACGTGAGTTCTCGTCTCATTTTTTTCCAAGACACGTGTCTCGTAATTTTATAACCAATTCAATTGATTTTGTATGGACTGGTCCAGAACGGCAACTTGATCAACACCTCGCATCTCCGATATTATCTAGATCACTACGCACACCGGCATATCAACACCGATTCAGATTCTGAACTTCTTTTGAATATCTTGGCGGACAATCTTCAAAAAACTGGAAAATTCCGGATAGACGAAGATGACATTTTTAGAGCGATTTCAGGTCTAATGAAGCATTGCCATGGAGCTTATGGATGTGTGGCTATGCTTGCTGGATTTGGAATCATCGCTTTCCGGGATCCCAATGGTATTCGTCCCCTCGGTTATGGTCGACGGAAAGTAGATTCAAGTAACGGGCAACCCGAACGGTGGGACTATATGATCAGTTCTGAAAGTGTCGCATGCGATGCAAATGGATTCACAGATTGGGTAGATGTCAAACCAGGCGAAGCCATCATCATCACAAGAAAAGGCGTCCACGCCCGACAAGCTCTTACACCTCGTACTTTGGCTCCTGATATCTTCGAATACGTTTACTTTGCACGCCCGGATAGTGTTATCGATGGTATCAGTGTTTACAGAAGTAGGATGGCTATGGGTGATGCTTTAGCCCTCGAAGCCAAGAGGATATTGACTGAATGTAATATGTCAGTGGATGTGGTTATTCCAGTACCAGATACCAGTCGTGTAGCTGCCTTACAATGTGCCCAAGCCCTCGGTATACCTTATCGGGAAGGGTTCGTCAAAAATCGATATGTAGGGCGTACATTCATCATGCCCGGTCAGCAGCTACGGTAAGTGACGAGTCAATCATTTCAGGGTTTTCCCTTTGATCGTGGATATCAAGATCGGAGCAAAATTGACGCTGTTTTTTCCTTTTCAGTCGAAAAAATGTTCGGCGCAAACTGAACGCCATGGCTATGGAGTTCGATGGCAAGTCAGTCATGCTGGTTGACGATTCTATCGTACGAGGTACCACTTCAAAAGAAATCATCCAAATGGCGCGCGATGCTGGTGCCAAAACCGTTATCATGGCTTCCTGCGCACCGCCCATCAGATTTCCAAACGTATTTGGTATCGACATGCCTTCACGTAAAGAGCTTGTGGCCCATAATCGAACAGAAGACGAAATTGCACACGAAATCGGAGCTGATAAGGTCGTCTTCCAAACACTCGATCACCTCATCAACAGTTGTGGTAAATTTAACAAATCGATCCAAGAATTCGATTGCTCCGTTTTCACCGGTAAATATGTCACTGGTGGGGTTGACGAAGAATATCTTTTGAACCTTGAACAACGCCGAGGAGACGCAAAAGCGTCGTCTTCAGGGAAAGCTAGTTCACAGTCACAAGCTGGTACAACCAAATCATCTTCCCTCCTCCTTCCTACCCAATCTCATGTCGATCAACTATCTTCGAGATCATCTGCACCCGTTGATACCTCGGGAAACACAAACCAAAACCCTACTATCGCTCCTCCCGCTGATACCATCGGTTTGACGAATGAGTCCATTCAGACTGTCAGCCAAAACGACATGTGTGTCGGATTACCAAACAGCTATCTCCGACAATCATCAAGTTCTCGTGGCAGCCGGGCAGCCAGTACCAGTGCGGAAGAGCTACCAAATGAAGTGGCAGACAATGTCACTCATCTCGAGTTGGACGATGACGAGGCAGAAGCATTAGTAAAGCCTATGAAGGACAGCCTTCGCATTGATGGTGAAGATAAGGACGGTACCGTAGGTGGCATGGTGACCGACGATGGCGGACATAATGTAAGCCCTTGACGCCTGACTAGAGCAAACCCCAGTTGGACTAACTTCATTTGTACGTACAGGGGTATATACCGACAACTCCCAGGTGATGTCGGGTTGTGCTTTCTTCGAAAGTAGTCTTGCGATATAATGATTCATCCACTGCTCATTCCATCCCTGGTTAAGATCTCCACCAAGCCCGCCGCAAATTTGCTTGCACAATTTTCTCTGATCATTGATTGCGTGTTCATAGTTTCTTTTTGCTCATATAGATGCCTGCATAGAGCTTTTTCTCTTTTCTTGTCAAGTAGTGCTCCTGTTTATCTCCATATTTTCCACCGTTATCAAATGTCTAAAAACATCCACGATTCTATATCGTGCTTTTCTCTTGCCTTATATTTTTTATCAATGTGGTTTATGCATCTTTCGCAATTGGTTTTGGGTTTTGATTTCCATTCAAATATCGCGGCATCTCTCGCATTGCGTCTCCTTGAATACCTTTTTTGAAGACTCAATTTTATTGTGCTCGTCGTGGCAATCTTTTTTTGCATCAAGCCATTCAAATACCATGTATGTGCAAGGTGCCATTGTTTTCAGGGATGGCAACACTATGATGAGTGAGTATGAGCTGGCAGGCCAAAAGTGTTGCAAGATACATACATTTCTCAATCAATAATCAACTCAGATGAGTATTGACGCATCTGTCCCTGTAGTATCACCCTGAGTTTTTCCAGCAGCATGAGACTTGTGGCCGTGCAGCGTCTTGCAGCGCACATTGCACAAGGTCAAACGCTGATTTATGGTACATCTGGATTTCAGATCGCCCGCGCTCCTGCACCCGCACATCATGTGAATCTCAGGTTGAAAGCTATCGAGACCTCAAAGGGGGCTATCCAACTGATCACATTAAACCACAGGGGAAACTGCAACAATGGTGGACTCGAACACCTCTAATGGTTTAAATTAGTCCGCCTACGACTTATCAGTGCCAACATCATCTGGGGTGAGCTTAACGTATAAACATATTCAATGAATACAAAACCTTCTCCATGAATAAGAGTCGACCCATGCAGAGCTAATAAGCTGTTGTATGGGGCATCGTTAATCATGGATTAATCTTCTGAATAATGTGATGGACATGGTATTTTTGAGTTGGAGTTGGGCACGTCTGATCTGCTTATAAGAGTGAGTCGCAACTTATCATTTGTCACCTTTGCTTCTTGTTTCTTTACGCATGATCCAACACCCATGCGGTCAGTCTGAGGACCATCGACACATCTTTAGGCTCACGCTCACTATTCACAAGGTGTGATGAGAGAGATGATCATCACAATTGGATAGTGTTCACAAGGGGCTGAACTCATCAAGATCAGACCAAGAGGTGTTCAAATGTCGAATGAGATCATAGACGGTTGTGAAACAGGAATGAAAAGAGGCTGATGCAAACTGTGAAGCTGATGTTCGGGCGACTCCAGCAGTGTCTGTGTAAGATTTCACGTTCAGATCAAGTACCTCAATCACGTTTTCGCATCGGCATAATACCGAAGGAAAAGATGATCAGATTCAAAACACACAATAGCATAAATTGCAATAGTTTCAACGAGTGAGCATCCAACCATGGACCGTACCTCTGATTGTAGGATCTCCTTCATCTTCCGGGAATGCAAGGCCAGCATTTTTATCCTCAACAACCTTTTTACAAGTCCATCCACGAGTTTGGGCGAGCTCTATTAATCCATTATCTTCTTTCATGAACTTAGGACGGTGATGAGAGAAGAAGACAAGAAGACAAGGAGTAGGTGACTCGGGGTTCGAACGCGGACGAAGAAAGCGTTCGCAGGTCGAGATTAAGGCTTCATGTTGGGAATGATTGAAGACCAGATCTGAAAGGAGAATGAGGTCAAAAAGAGGTGATACTGTATTGGAGGGTGTTTGGGCACCACACGCATCCAGGATGGGTAGATGACTCAATATATGTGCGGGATTGGCGCCCCACGTATAACCCTGAAAGAATGGAGAGCGAGTATCAGTGAACTACGATCAGGGTTTTGGAATGACACATTCTGGTGTAGGAGGCGGCGAGCGCGAGACGCACATCTACTATCATCCGGTCTCTGATCTGCGAGGGCAGATTTACATCTGCGTTGTGCTTCAAGTTATCAATCAGGTCTGCATCTGGGAAATCTGTAGTAACGACCTAGTGACGCCAGCCAACAGGTGGAAAAATTCAGTGTGAGTGGGGGGTGTACGCGGCGCGGCTATGAAATCTTACCAACTCCGCTCCTTCGAATGCGCTTGTCAAACCGGGCAAACCAGCTCCGGCACCAAGCTCTAGTACAAACTTTCCACGCGTAGTTCCGGCTCCGGGCACCGATTTCAGAAGAGTCTCAGCGTTCTGCTCCAGATATTTTGACATCAACATAGCAGCTGGATACAGGACGTGACCTGTTGAGGTTGTGCGATGATATTTTCAACCCGATGATAGTTTGCGGGTAATTGATTTGTTGAATATTTTTGGTTTACAAAATTACCGGGAAGAAAATGGGCGCCAAACCTCATTGTTAGCAAAGTCAAATAAACCTCCCAATTCTGATATTCTCAAGTTCACACAATACGGCATGACTTGAGATTCGATAACCAGAACTGCGAGAACAAACAAAACACTGCTGCAAATTACTCACCCCACAACGGATGGCCGCCAACCAGTCGAATTTTCAATTGATCACCATTGGATCTGACAAAGTCAAGTACTTGAGCTTCTGGAGCAGCGGGTCGAAAATTCGCCGGTTCCTAACAAGCCAACATAAGTGAAAACAACAAAACACATCAATTCTCATCATGTTGGAGAACAGTTGAGTGGAGTACATAAATGCCTCCAAATTCACCTCGAAAATGTTGAGATCGCCATCTCCTATCGACACCTCATCTTGGTCTCCATTCAGATTTGATTGCATCTGCACTTTGAATGAGGGCACTCGATTCCAGTTTTTTCCTCGGCTTCAGAAGTTCACGGGCTACAGGGATGATTTAGGGCCCCGACTCGGCCCGTTTCACAATTTTCCGACAGGCCGCCAAATCACGTGATAATATTAAGAGACGGTAGTTTTGGTTTCTGTGGTTTGCACAACTTCAAGTGTCGAAGCCAGTGACGACATGAACAACCTCCAGGGAACATTTCGAATAGCAAGAACCAATCTTTCCTTCTTTGCCAGCAATGGAGTCTTTTCCCATTCGCTGTATCTACCGGAAGCCTCCATGAGCCGAGGAATACAGCAACAGGGACTAACATTCAACTATTTCACTCTCGCCAGGCGCTCATGCCAACATCAACCAAGACTGGTTTCCCAACTTTCATTCTCTACATCATCTCAGCGTCAAGCAGGAACCACAGGATCTTACCAAGAACCTTTGGATACATCTACTTGGAAACCAAAGGTCAACAAGAGATGGACACCCATGACCGTGGTACTTATTTGTGTACCACTCTTGACATTCGGTTTAGGAACTTGGCAAGTTCAACGATTGAAATGGAAAAGGAGATTAATTGAAGATTTAGAACATAAGATGAGAATCGATCCAATCCCACTTCCTAAATCGATCAAGTTCAGTGAAACTAGCATTTTTATTGGCGAAACACTCTCATCGATCTCGGCTTCTAATTGGCGTTTGTTACGTTACTTCTCAATAGTCCTGATGTCGTACCTGAGTTCGAATATCGCAAAGTTCGGCTAGAAGGTAGATTCGATCATTCGAAAGAGATACTTATTGAATCACGAACGCGAGATGCGGAACTCGGATATCATTTGATCACTCCATTCATTCGAACTGAGGGGGGTGAACCAATATTGGTCAATCGCGGTTTCATCAAAAGAGAGTTCAAAGAACAGTCATCGCGGGAAGCTAGTGTGGTCAGTCCTTTTTGCTAGATCTATCGATATGCATGTTGCAACCCTGACCAATTTATCAGTCAGGGAATACGATAGAACTCATAGGTATGCTACGAAAGCAAGAGTCCAAGTCATTATTCCAACCAGAGAACAAGAAAGAATCCAATCAATGGTACTTTGTTGACATTCTGGAGATCGCGAATCATTTGAACAGTGCACCAGTCCTTGTTGATGCAATCACATGTAGGTATTGCTTCATGCTCAAAGCCTTCCTTGAACAATCTGTCATAAACTCACGACTTGCACGGTTGTTTTGGTATTTTCAGATGCCAATAGTGGTGAACTGAAGCAAATGCTGTCCAAGGGAAACCCAATCGGGCGGTCCTCTCAAATTCAACTAAGGAACATGCATGTCACCTACATTGTCACCTGGTAAGCACATTCACGTCCATTCAGATTGTAGGATATCGAGATTCACAACTTATGCCACAATGATAGGTACGGATTATCTGCTATCACCAGTATCATGGCTTTTAGACTTTTGAGGAAACGTTTATCCGGGCGATCAAGATTCGCAGGAGTTCAATAAGAACATGAATCTTTGTTCTGTTAGATCTCTTAGACGATCCAGCTGTATTTTTGCAAAACGTTTTCCACCCTTATTCTTTCCTGAAGGTCTTGGCATATTTTGTAACGCTGAAAACTGTTGAGTAACAACCTAAAGATACAGTCTATGCCTGATATGTATCTCAAGTGGTTGTTGAAATCAACCAGGTTGAAATCTTGCCCTTGTTGGAGATTTTCAGGTGTCAGACTTGAGAAGTATACTTCAATGTGCCAGGCCTTTCTGAGTATGCTGGCTTGAAACAAGAATGAAGTCAGCAAAGTTGTTTCTCCCACCCAGTGATCAAGAGATGTGGGATACTATTGGTTCTGTGAACAATATACAACTATCACCCCAAAGCAAGCAATTGTGTGTGATTATTGGACCAGAGGCAACCAATAAGGTGCTAGCTTATCGTGGCTTACAGTTCACCATAAATGAATAAGAGATCTTCAAGGGGCCATATGTTCAGCAATCCAGATGTTTGTATAAAAAGTTAATGATATCTCTCTCCAGGTCACCAATTGGACCAGCTGGACAGAATGCAATTATTGTCAGTGAGGATAACTATGACAGTTCAGTGCTACAAGGAAAGGTCTATTATTTACCAAATTAAAACTTGATCTTTCAGGTGATAGAACCCATGTTGTTGCAATGCAAAAACATCCCCAGTCTTAAGATCTGGAAGATTCAAGCTAGCCAAAGGTACCTTTTTGTTATAATCCTTACACGGGAGTTGTGTGTGAAAGGCACACAAGGAGATGTCACATATGTGTGTCGCATGTGATTTGATTCACGTTGGTTAATTCTTCCTCAAATTGTTGATTTGATCTTTACTGATTGTATGATAATCATCTAGTTGAGTTGTTTGATAAGTCAATCAAAATCAAAGTGGAGTGATAGAGGATGGCTATGCGGCTATAACCATGCGTGTATCATGGACAAGCGTGTGAATTTGTCAGACGTTGCTAGGAGATGAGAAATGTTCAACACGGGTTGCACGCGTGCACACAACCCTTTTAATTACCCGAAAACGCTCAAGAAAAGTTTTACAAAGGTACAGAATATTTCAAAAGAGATGAACAGTTTTCAAGCTTTGAGTGATTCACTACAAATAGCTTGCCAGCCAAAAGAGCACCATCAGGTCAATCAAATGTCTTCTAGAAGCTGGACTCGAAATCCGGTGGATGGGAGTGACTTGAACAAGATGCAAATTTCCCAAAAATGTTGAGGTCTATGCCCTTGACCTTACAGAAGTCTTCCAACGGAGCTAGTCTAAGATCAGGTTTTAGGTGAGGTGAGTAATCTCTATATTTCATGGGCATTACTATTTCCTTGAGATTAGGGAATATATCACTAATTATGAAGTCTGAAAATTCAGAAAGTTTATATTCGTACATTGAAGCATTATGCACTGTGAGGTGACGCAGATTTAGACATCCTGTAAAGCAGTGAAAAGTATCGCATGCCCACTGTCGGTAAATGGTCAAATGTGTTAAAGCTGGTAGAGAAAACCGATGGAGTCTCAAGTCAGGTAAGATGTCTTCTGTTCCGCGGTGTAAATCAAAATTGAATTCGAAATGTGTCAGGTGCGGTGCCCAAGAACTGATGTGCAAAGGCAGATTTGTTGAACAAGCATTGGGATAGTGGTGGATCACGAGTTTCGTCAACTGAGGAGGACCTTCATGAAGCGACCAAAAGTCGTTTATGACATCAACGTGCATCATAGCCAGCTGCTTCAAGTTTTTGAGATCGTGAAGAGAACTAGCAAGGCAATCAGTCCGTCCCCAATTGGTAACTGAAATGTTTTCAAGCTCGAGTGATTCAATGAGTGGTAAATGTTTGAGGGGTTCAATGATAGACTCTGCAGGTATGGGTACAAAATCGGGACCTCGGTATTTGAGATGTTGAACATGGTCGAGGTTTGAAAATAGCGAAGTCAAATTTGCGCTCAAATTGATTATTTGTTCTGTTGTAAAAGAACTCCGATGAAACGGAAATCCAAAGCAGAGCTTCTTAAGCCTGTTACATTGAGAAAGCACCTTGAGGAGATTTTTGGGACATAGACCAGGTGGTTTGTGTAGCACGACGTCGTGTTGAACTCCAAGGAGACTTCTTTGAATGTGCGATTCGAGTTTGTCGAATCGAACGGCTCTAACTGAGGGATCTGGCGGGAAATTTAGTCCGGCAAACTTCGTGCGCCGATCCTTGATGGGCTTGATAAACTTGAATTTGTTTAAATCAGAAGACCGGAAAGTAAAATGATGTTCATTTTTGTCACGGGCAGCCCGCCTGATAGAAACAGGACTGTTTGATGTTTTCGTCCATTCGTCTTCCAATTTAAAATGAAATTCTTTCACATAGGCTGCGTATTTCGGTAAAATCACTTGGTTCCAGAAAGAGATTGGGCGAGAGATTTCATGAGGCATCACGAGAGACTAGACCACCAGCGTAGAGAAATTTCAAGTCATATAATAATGAGTAAGTTTCAAGGATAAGTCGTACTTGCTTCACTTGACCAAAATCAACTCACCTGCCATATGAAAGGCCGACAAAGATGATGCATCCTATGATTAACAACGGAGAAAGATTGGAAGTCACTCATGATTGGAGCTTCGGGGTTGTGTTGATAAATGCACAAAGGTTTTGGATCTTTTGATACAAGAGTAAATATCTGCTTGGCCTTCTGCTGGTGACTTGTTCTACAGGTGGTCTGGTCTTTGTAAAGATATTTTGCAATCTCGAGAATGATTTCATAAGGTAGTTGACCAAGTAAATCTCTCTGAGTCCTCAATGCTAAGTTGGTAGGTTGATCAAGTTGGGGTTTTGCTTTTCTTGATTTTGGCATTTGGATCTGGTGCTGTGGTGTGACTTTTGTTAATGCTCAATGGAACTTGTGAGTTTTGCAGAGGTAGTAAGCCAAATGAGAGATTTGAAGGAGTTTTTAAGACTTTTTAGTCGAAAGAATTTGCTCCAAAGCTAAATAACAAACGAGAAAGGTTCGCGTGCAGACTTTAACCAACCAGAAGGCTGAATTTCATTACCTGGTCGCGAGGGCCTTCAGCAGGGATAAAGCTAGCAGAAGTACAGATATTTACGAGACCCTTGCACCTTGAGTCTCAGATTTTCCATGGCTGAAATTGAACAGGGAAATCCGCCTACAAATCGCTCTCCGATGACACTGTTCTTAATGGGGAGCAAGTAGCACCACTACACTAATGTTGACTATATTTTGAATGCACTTTGTGGGTTGTTGTGATGAAAGCACAAAATGACTGTAGATTGAGAAAACACATGAAGGGTCAGCTAGGATGTATTGATTGATTTTCATAAAATCAAATCGTAATGAGCTGTGATATAATCAAAAATGGTTATGCTGTCATTGGAGCTTTATGTGATAGTTGCAATGATCAACATACTTTCAACTTGTTTTTACAAAACCACTATGTACAATTAGGGTCAGCTAGGATGTATTGATTGATTTTCATAAAATCAAATCGTAATGAGCTGTGATATAATCAAAAATGGTTATGCTGTCATTGGAGCTTTATGTGATAGTTGCAATGATCAACATACTTTCAACTTGTTTTTACAAAACCACTATGTACAATGTTACAAAGTGTATAATGAAGAGACCTCAACACGAGTGGCAAAGATCGAATCGATCCATTACATGAGAACAAATCTAGCTTGTTGGCCACCGGCACATTTAGTCCAATCCAATGCCTATCCTTCTAAGCATTGATCGTAGGGATAGCACGTGATTTAGGTACAGGACCCTGGCAACCCTTGAAGTCAATCCCTTTAAGCTTGCAGAATTCTTCCAATGGAGCTAGTTTAGAATCCAATGTCGGTCGAGGCGAATCTTCCCATTTCATAGGCATTACTATCTCCTTGAGCTTAGGAAATTTACCACTGATAATAAATTTTACAAGCTCGGACAGTCCATCTTCGCAAGGCAAACAAACTTCGAGGAAACGGACGTTCGGACAAAATGTGAAGCACTGAAAGGTTTCACACTCGGAATGTCGGTATATCGTCAAATGGGTTAAAGCCGGTAGTTTAAACTCATGAACGCTTGGGTTGAAGGTAGGGAGGATTTCATTTCGTGGTATTCAGGATTGTGTTGATCAAATTTGAGTTGGAAATCTGTTATGTGAGGAGCCCAAGTATTGATGTAATCAGGCAGCGTTGATAACCACCGATTGGGATAGTGGATGGATCACGAGTTTTGATAACTGAGGAGGAGCTTTATGGTCGCTCCAAGAGGGCTCTATGACATCAACGTGCATTAAAGACAGATGTTTCAAGTTTTTGAGCGTGGAAAGAGAGCTAGCAAGGCAATCAGTCCGTCCCCATTCGTTGACCAACATGTTTGCAAGCTCGAGTGATTCAAGGTGTGGTAGATGTTTGATGGGCTCGATGATAGACTCTGCCGGTATATATTTGTAGAAAGGACCTAGATACTTGAGATGTTGAAGGTTTGTAAGACCGGAAAAAAGTAAAGTCAAATTGCAACTCAGGTTGGTCGCTACTTCTAACTCGGAAGATTCCCAACGAGGTGGAAACTCAAGACAGAGTGTTGTAAGATTGTGACATTGAACCAATACTTGGAAAAGGTTTGGGGGTTCGAGACCAGGTGATTTGCGTAGCACGATGTCCTGTTTGACTCCAAGGAGACTTTGTTGAACATGTGGGTCATTGTCGAAAGGTACGGCTTCAATTATAGGAGCTCCTTTGAAGGTATAGTCACCAAATTTGAAAGGTTGATGCCCGACAGTCTTGAGATACTTGAACTTGGTCAAATCAGAAGATTGCAAGGTAAAATGATGTTGATTTTGATCACAGGGAGCTTGTCTGATAGATATAGGATTATATGATGTTTTGGTCCATTCGTCTTCCAAACTCGCGTAAAATTCTTTGACAAAAGATGCGTATTTTGGTAAGATCTCTTGGTTCCAGAAAGAGATTGGACGGCAGATTTCATGAGGTATCACAAGAGACTAGACCACCAGGTTGAAGGAAGTTCGAAGTAAAAAATGATGACATACATCAATCAGTAAATTTTAGGGATCAGTCTTACTTGCTTCACTCGACCAAAACTAACTCACCGGCCATATGAAAGGCTGACAGAGATGATGAATCCTACGATCGACAGTGGAAAATAAATGAAAGCTACT